TCTACTGAGTAGTATATAACCTAAAGAAGGTGACTGGGCTCCAACCTTCGGTTGATACTTCACCTAGAGAGATGCCTACAGGATGAGAGACTCTCCACCATCAAGAGGTTATGAGGGATGGACAATATGTGATAGATGGATATGGTATAACCAGGGTAGGATTTCTAACATCAGCCAAATGGGCTGAGTAGGACTCCAAGGTGTTCTCTAGGTACCATGCTCATGAGTCATCGTCAAAGCTCATGAGTCAAAGGTCAGCTTTGGACACTGGCCACACACCTCGCCTTTGTGGGCAGTCACAGTTGGCTAGAAAAAGAATTATAGTGACTCCAGTTAAATAAAGAAATGGTTATTGTCTATCAATACCTTCATGTTCCTTTCTAATTCCTACCCCTAAAGCATCAGAACCCAAGAAGAAGGAAAGGGTAATGTAATGAAACTGTGTTTTTCTTTTTGTCCCATGTCCCTTGAGCCATGGGTCTTTTGAGCACAGAGAGCAAAAACAAGAGTGAGAATGAGTTTTGAACCTGGTGTGAGCCTGGGGTTACAAGAGGCTGAGGCTGAGTCTTAGTAACTGAAAATAGGAAAGTTGGGGTGTTTGCCTGGGATGCCAAAGGATTTACTACTGGGCAGAGAAGAAGGTCTGACAGAGTGAATGAAAACAATAATTTAAAAAAGTTTGTTTCTCACTGATTTGAAATTCTAATTCCCCAGCACAGTGGTAAATGCAAACCAGAATGATTGGGCCTGGAATGGTGGTATGTACAAATACTTCCTTTTTCTTATGCAATGCTTTGTTTTTCTTAGACTTAATGAAATTGTCTTAATGTTGGTTTACTTGAGTTTCTATTTATGTCTTACCAATGCAACCACAGCCATTTATCCCCAAATGTCCAAAATCTCTTTCCTGTTCACTGGAGGACCTTGTTGGGGAAGTCTCCAGCCAGCTCCAGTTTGAACTGCTTGCTCTCTGGGCTATTATACAGCCATCATCTTTTGTTTGCTTCAAAAATTTTCTTTCTGGAAATTCCCCTTTGTGATGGATTCTCTGTTTTCTAGATTCTAGATCTTAGGTCTTCCACACACCACGATTTACTATCTTGTTTTGGTAGAGCACTTTCTACAGAACCTTCTGGAAAATATTGAAAATGGGATGCTTATTTTCAAGAGCAGGAATTCTAAAAATGTTTTTGGTTTACTTGTAGTTTGTTTGTAAAATAGCTGTATGACTTCCTTTTTTGTTATGTGGCTCCTAACTATATTGACTGATTCTGGCCAATAGCAATACATTAAATGTAAAAGAAACATTAATTGAAAATGCTTACCCCTTAGGGTACACCATTTCATGCTGCTTTTTGGAAGCCCAAACACCACAGGAGAAAGGTTAGTTTGCTGGTAAACAAGAGACCACATTGAACAGAGACAAGTGGTAATAATACAGGGCTACCCACTTTGCACTTAAAACTAACTAGCCTTCTGGAGTGTGTGTGAGGTAATCCTATGCCACTGAGCCCAAGCTTTACTTGATTGTAAACATTTGGCAAAACAGATCAGACCTACAGAGCCACTTGGCTGGTCTGTGGATGTAGAGAAATCATAATTTTTTTAAAGCCATCAAGCTTTATGGTGATTTATTTTCTAGCAAAAGCCACATGAGACTCTGTCTTGTCAGTTGATAGTTTAGCTGGTAGAGAATTCTGCACTGAAGGTCTCTTTTCCTTTAGAAACTTAGAGGCATCATTCCATTACCTTCTAGTCTCCAGTGCAACTAACAGGAATCTTAAGTCATAGGATTCTTGAGTTTTTACATGCATTCCTGTCCTGCCTGGAAAGCCTTAAGGACACCTTTAAATCTTAGTATTTTGAAATTTCACAAAGATTGTGCAAAGGTTTGATGAACTTGTTCTCTATTGTGAAGGACACCTGATGGAAACGACATTTTGAGTCTGAAACGATTGTCTTCTAATTTGGAGGACTCTTGCCTTTCTTGTTAGGTGACAGTGGCTTGGTTTCTAGCCATCTGTCTTCTGTGTCCTCTCTGAATTCACCTGTTTGGATCCTGAGCCCCCCCCCCCCCCCCCCGCCCCCCCCCCCCCCCCCCGCCCCCATGGAATCTCAAGTTTTCCAGTGCATTTTTCTCTCTTTTCCACAGCTCTGGCTTTTGGATCTATTATTTCCTCTGGAAGAGCTCTAGCTTCTTTTAAAAAAAATAATTAAAAATAATTTACTCTTATTTATATGAGAATTTAACCTTCATTTATGTATGTGCACCACATATGTGACTGGTGGCCGTGGAGATCAGAAGAGAGCATTCAATCCTGGAGCCATGGATAATGGTGCTGGGTACTGAATCTGGGTCTTCTGAAAGAGCAGTATGTGCTCATAACTGTTGAGCCATCGCTCTGGCCATGAACTTTTCTCATTTTTTTTTTCACTTAACATTACCTTGGCTACCCTAGGTCAGCTTCTGAGAACCCTTTACCAGTTTCCTCCATTTAAAGGGCATAGCTCCTCTTTTAGGGAGGCACACTTTTTCTTCCTCTGAGAATATCAGACGTTGTTTGTCGAGTTTTACTTCCCTGTGGGGTTTCTATTTCCTTGAAATTATTCATCTTTGTTGGCTCATCATGACTTGGCTGTTGGCCAGAAAAAGGCTGTGGAGTTTGTAGATGCCTTGACACTGGGAGGAATGTCAAATGTGTGAGATCACTACAAATTGTAAGCCATCTTAAACAGTGGGAAGGGCATGTATCTGATAAAGAAATAAGATGAATCTGAATATAAGCTTGGGTGAGCCCATCCAAATATAACATGAGAGAAGTGGATTTAGAAGTTAGAGAGACAAAAATGACAGAAATTTGAGCCAGTAGTTGACTTAATTGATGGGAAGTTTATTGAGTTTCCTTTCATGTACCATGGACACTTCAGATACACTAAACAGGAAATTCTCACATGTCGTTAATAGACATCTAATGTAGAGGATGAGGGAGGCGATTACCTTGCTGTATTTTGTGAAGCTGTATTACAGCAATCCTAATGATAGCTATAATTTGATGAACACTTCCATTGTGCTTGATGCTATTTTAATACGTTTTGAGTTTATTAATTAAGTTAATCCAAATTTGATGATGAGAAAAAGAAGAAAGTATGAGTTCCTGTCCAAGGTGACATCATTTGCTCAAAGTCATGCTAACTCTAACAAGGAGCACTCACATTTGAATGCAAGTGGTCTGGCTTCAGAGTCGGTGCCCTTGACCTGTTCTCTAATTGCTCTATTCAGACACACAAAAGAGATTGTGACAGAAGAGAATTCTTGGGCTGGTGAAAGACACAAAACCCAAACTGGACAAGGATGGCCTGAAGGTGACTGTGAATACCGGGTGCACAGGAAGCTGACAAATGCCTTTAAATATTTGAAAAGCCTTTTCAGTAACGAGGAGTTAGATGTATTCTCTTTGACTCTGAGGATAGGACTTGGGTTGATGACTAGCAGGTTCCGAGTGCAAGAAACATCAGCTTGACCTGCTGATAGCTTTTTTTTTTTTTTTTTTTTTTTGGTTTTTCGAGACAGGGTTTCTCTGTGTAGCTTTGCGCCTTTTCCTGGAACTCACTTGGTAGCCCAGGCTAGCCTCGAACTTACAGAGATCCGCCTGGCTCTGCCCCCCGAGTGCTGGGATTAAAGGCGTGCGCCACCACCGCCCGGCTGCTGATAGCTTTTTAATGATGATTTTGAAATGTTGTATAGTTTACTTTGAGTTTTCTGACATTAGAGATATGCAAGAATGGGCGGGCATGCTGGTGGAAGATCCAAAATTGTTCTCAAACCCGAGAGAGAAGGTCCACCTGAAGAGGTCATTTCATTCTGCCATGTCCAAGTGAACAGAAACAGTTTGGAAGGTTTTATCTCCAAAGGGCAACATCCAGTTAGAAATTGAGGGTAGCACTCTGCAGTTGAGGGGACAGGGATCCTGTGTGACGACAAGATCCTCTCAAGGTCGATCTGCTATCTTGGAGCACAGAAGGAACCGCATCTGGTCTACTAGATTCTAAGTTGAATTTTCTTTGCAACACACACATCACCGTCCAGCTCCCTGTGAAGTTTCTCCCCTGCCTTCTGTTTCCACTCAGTACATGCGCATCCCAGTTTCCTACCATCCTCACCAAGAGCGATGAGTGCTGGCCAGTTTTCCCGGCAGCGAGTTGTCTTTTGTTGCTCTTAGCTCTTCTCCTCTGCTGCAGTGGGGGAACACCCATTTCTCATGTGCAGTCCTCTGAAGTTAGAACTCTGAAGAATAAAACGCAATCCATGGTCATGGTTACTGCTGTTTGTACTCATTGCTCAAATACTTGCTTTGAGACCAAGGTTGAGGTCTGGTACCCATGTGCCCGGAGCCTTCACACAGATGTCTCCTCTTAGGAGACAGCCAAGCATGTATTTTGTGATTGGATAAGACATTGATCCTACCCAGCAAAACTGTAGCCAGGCAGGCATGTTATAGGGGCCCAGAGCTAAGCAGTGGCTTTGTCCAGGGCTCCTTTATGGTTTGTTCTGTGCCTTAGGTTTTAGGGTCGGTGTTGACATCCCAGTCCCCTGCACATTTGCCATGGCCTCTATGTGTACAGTAGAGGTTGGCACACTCAAACAACTCCATTAGTCTTCTTCCTCTAGCTGGGTAGAATGTTTGTCTTTTAGTATGTGGAGGGTAAGTGAAATGAGCTATTTTTGAACAAGTAGTTTTAAAAAGTACTCTTAGACTAAGAGTTATTTTGCTTTTAAAGACATTTGTTTTTATTCTGTGTGTGTGTGTGTGTGTGTGTGTGTGTGTGTATGTATGGTGTGTTTTTTTTTTTTTTTTTTATAAGGAAGGAGTCAGACCCTATCAATCATCAATCAGCATCTTAGCCTGATGTAGGAAAATTGCCTGTGTGGTAAACTATAAAACCACTAGAGGGCAGGAGAGTCTAAAGAATGATAGGAAAACCAACCCCCTCCCCTTCCCCCCAAACCCCAACAGGACCAGTCAGGAAAACAAACTGCTCTTTGTTCACTAGAGGCCAAGCCATCAGCGTGATCTGCAGACCCAGGTAGGCCTCTAGAACAATAGAGGTGTGTTGTGGGTAAAGTGGCGTGGGGTAGTCAGACTTCTTAGGAAGGCAGCGGACTTCTGAGGTCAAGATTTTCAAACTGTGATCTCTGGCAAGTCCATTCAAATCTCCGAATAGGAGTTTTCTGTCTGTAAAAGTGGGCTTCATCACCTAAGCACACGGGGGGGGGGGGGGGGGGGGGAGCTTCAACAGAATAGCACCTGCCCCATGTCTTTCCAACCCTCCCGTGGCCACCACCCCCCCCCCCCCCCCCCCACTCCCCCGCTTGGTTCTGATGCCTGATGTCACTCCTCTCTCACTGTTGAGATTCCTCTTAGTGAACCTGGGTCCTCTTCTCTGCCTCTCTCACGTCTTTGAGAGCCTCCAATTTCTGTGTTCTAATTATTTGTCTCCCAGTTTATTACCCACACTGGACAAGCACTTCCAGAGGACAGCCCCTGGGTGTCTCTACCCTGGAGTCCAGACGGAGGAGGAGGAATCTAAGGCAGTAACTTTCCTTTGTTTGTTTGCATAGATTCTTAGGCCAAGCATGGGTGTAGACATGAAGCGGGACAAGGACCCTGCTCGCATGAGTTTACAGATTAAGTCATGTTTTGGTGAGACTAGTAGCATGAGTTGGATGTGATAGTAAAGACCTGTAGGCCCAGCTACTGGCTTGAACCCAGGAGTCCAGGCCAGCTGGGCAACAGAACCTGTCTTAACTGGGCAACCAGTCCTTACTCCCATACATGGTAGGGTCAACATACATGACAGTCATCTGATAAATAACCATACTTGCAGAAATAAGCATGGTGTAAAGGGGGAATAAAAAAAAACATACTTTATGAGCATAGAAAGATGACTCAGTGGTTAAGAACACTGACTGCTCTTCTAAAGGACCTAGGTTCAATTCCCAGTGCCCCCATGCCAGCTCACGACTATCTGTAACTCCAGCTCTAGGGGATCTGATGCTGTCTTCTGGCCTCGTCAGGCATCAGATTCACCTGTGGTGCACAGACAGACATGCAGACAGTTGGTCAAAGGTGAAGGACAGTGGCTGGCTTATAAGAACACTCAGGGATACAGTAATCTTCACTGGGATTATGCCGTGTGTGTGTGTGTGTGTGTGTGTGTGTGTGTGTGTGTGTGTGTATTTCTTTCTTCTTTATTAACATCCCATAGTGAGGGTGAACTGTAGAAGAGAGGCCTGACAGTCCTAGGAACGATGGCAGATTCCCTAGAAAAATAGCAATGCTATTTGTTTTGGACATTTGCCATGTACCCCTGAGCCCCAGTCCAGTGGCAGCCTCTCCAGTCTGAGTGAGAACAGAGTCATGGTGTGCTCAGCCTTCTTGCTACCAAGGTCTGGTGCTGCCCTCCTCACACCCAAACTTTTGTTAAAAACTAATGAGCTGTGTGTGGTGGAATGCACTTCTGTGACATCAGTACTTGGGAGGCTGAGGCTCTAGGGTCAAGAGTTCAAGGCTAGCCTGAGTTACATAGCAGGGCTCTGTTTCAAAAAATCTAGAATAAACCAATGACAACCCCCCTCCCCAATTTTATTGTGAATGTGCAACCCCTTAATTTATCAGAGGATGGAAGAGCCTGTGAGACTGCTTCCTGCTTTCCTGGCGATCCTGGGGTCATGGTCAGGGAAGCAGCAGCCTGCAGTCACCTCCTGTGTTTGGCAGCACAGTGCATCAGCTGGCTTCTAGAAGTAACCATCGTCATTGCTCACTGTGTGTCCGAGACTCTGCGACGGTCTTTGCTTAGAATGGAGTGAGTTCAGAGGTTTGGGAGGGTCAAGTTCAACCTCAGAACACAGTCCTGGTGTGGCTCACGTGCCCTTTGATGCTCACTGGCTTTCTTGGCATGAAAGAAGCCACGCAGAAGTGTCACCGTAGGCTTCCTGATGTGAGTGTGGAACTCACCTCCATGAGACCTTCGAGGCTGAAGTTCCCACACAATTGGGAACTGTGTTGTAGTTGATTGCCAGTATTTATTCCAGATTGTTGTAAAGAGGTAGAGGAGACATCTTTCTATGCACAACCCACCGCTCTGTCTGGGGACCTCGGAGATAGAAAGTCATATTCAGACTGAAACTGTAGTTTCCGTACAACTTAAAGTCAACCCTTAAATGTTCATGTAATATCTACTATGTTATTTCACTAAATAGGTGCTGGTGGAGACTTAGAATATAATAATTAAACTCTTAAAGAGCCATTTTCTTGCAAGTGGAATGAATACATGAACCATTAGGCCCCTGGTCCTTGATAGATGTCTATAAACACAATAGGCCTTTGGGAATGGCTTTACCAACCCATGCCATTTGCAGAGCATCTTTTTTATCTCACAGGTGGTAGGCATGGATATGGGCTTTTACAGTGGTCAGGTTAAAGAAACCACAGTCTAAAGCTGGAAATAATAGTAACACAGATGGGATAAAAAACCATGAAGAATAGAGAGACAAAACCAGACAGAGACAAGGGGGATAAGAATACTGGAGACACAGAGGAAGACTGCCATGTCTTTTTCAAACTTAAAAGACAGACTTGATTTTTTTTTTTTTTTTATAACAGGCTTTTAGCAAATTGCACAGGAAGAACTGAGTCCCCACCTGCCCATCCCTGCACATCCAGACCGGCTACTGCCGAATGTGCTTCAGCGCAGTGATGACTTCCGCATGTTTTGTTTTTTTTTTGTTTTTGTTTTTGTTTTTGTTTTTGTTTTTGTTTTTGTTTTTCGAGACAGGGTTTCTCTGTGTAGCTTTGCGCCTTTTCCTGGAACTCACTTGGTAGACCAGGCTGGCCTCGAACTCACAGAGATCCGCCTGGCTCTGCCTCCCGAGTGCTGGGATTAAAGGCGTGCGCCACCACCGCCCGGCTATGTTTTTAAGACTCATTTTTTACTTGACATAGTGATAACCTCTGTATGTTTTTAGACATTTTTAAAAAAAATTTAATCCTTTAGATTCTTTTAAGACGTAGTTCTGGTCTTGAGTGTTGGGGCTCTTTGGCAGAGTCTCAGTCTTAATGTAGGGATACAGTGAGAATGTTTAAAAGAAATACTGTCTGAAGGCCGGAGGGATGGCTCAGCTGGTAGAGCACTTGCCTTATAAGCATGAGGACCTGAGTTCGAGTCCCCAGAACTCATGTAGAAAAAAAAGCCAGGTGTGGTTGCATGTGCTTGTAATCCCAGTCCTTGAGAGGCAGAGACAGGTGGGTCCTGAGGCTCGCTGGGTCCGTCAGACTAGCCTACATGATGACTTCCAGGCCACTGAGAGGCGCTCTCTCTCTCTCTCTCTCTCTCTCTCTCTCTCTCTCTCTCTCTCTCTCTCTCACACACACACACACACACACACACACCCATACACACGTTCACCTGCACACACACAGCACATGTACATCTGCACACACATACACACACACACACACACACACACACACACACACACACACACACACCCCTACACAGGAGCACCTGCACACACAGTACATACGCACCTGCACACACATGCACACAACTTTCCTATGAAAAACGGCGATTGTCTGAGATGACCAGTTTAGGTTTGTGTGTCTAGAGGCAAATCCCCAGAACCCCTCCTGGTCTACAGCGCAGCCCTGCTCCTCCCCTATTCCCCCCAACAATTCTCCGTTGGTTGAGGGTTTGGAAAGGACTTTGCAGGTGGCAGGACTGAAAAAAAAAGTTATGCCCTTTTTTTCTCCTCCTGTAAAAACATGCCTTTAATTTGTGCCTTTCCATCATCTCATACAGCTTTCCAAAATAGGAGACTCGTACATAAAGACAGATTGCGCCGGGTGGGCCGGGAGATCCAGGCCTGGGTCGTTAACCGAGGCTCAGTGGAGGAATTAAGTTGTTTAGCCCTTAGCTGCAGGCCTGGTGAAATAGGTGGTGTTTCAGCCCAGTCCTTTGTGGGATTCAGGCTGCCAATATCTGGGCTTTGAAGTGGTTTTCTCTCCTATGATGTAACTGCATTCCCTTGCTGGGCCTGAGGAGGCATTTCTCATTCTCTCTCCCCCGCCCCCACAGTCATCCAATATGCCAGCTTGTGAGTCTGATCACACCGGCCCCTGCTTTCCAGACATTCTCCTGAAGTAGATAACTTGAGAGATGAAGATGATAAGATACGCTGCTTGTAGGTGTGTGCCTGTGTGCATTTGGGGAGCAGGTGTTGGGGTATAGGCAGCTGCTATTAATTTTTTGGTGTGTATATTTACTTGTGTGAACGTGTATGTGTGTGTGTGTGTGCACGTGCGCGCGTGCATATGGAGGCCCAGGTCAAGCTTGGGTATCATTCCTCAGGAAGATATCCACTTTGCTTTCAGAGACTGTGTGTCTCACTGGCCTGGAGCTTGTCAGTGATTAAGCTACAGCGGCTGCAAGTCAGCCCTGGGATGTGCTTGTCTCGGCCTCCTCGGCACCGGGAGAACAAGGCGCAGCCGCCACGCCTGACCTTTTCAAGTGTGGATTCTGTGACTCAAACCTAGGCCCTCGTTCTTACCCAGCAGCCACTGCACTGACTGAGCTGTGTGACTTCCTCAGCCTTGTTTTTGGCCCTCTCCAGTCCTCTCCCCTCCCCTCTTCTTCTCTTCTGTTCCTTTTCCCTTTATTCCCTCCTCCCTCCTCCCCTCCCTCCCTCCCTCTCTTCCTTTCTTCTGAGTCTTTCTACATGGCCCAGGCTGGCCTAGAACTTGCAGTTTCCTGCCTCAGTCTCTCAAATGCTGCGATTATAGGTATTCATCATCCGACTGTGCTTAATTTCTCTCTGAATTTACCTTCTCAGTTTGGCTTGTATGTAAGAGTGACTCTGCTAGCCACACGTATGTAACAAACAGAATATATTCCACATAGGTAAATATGTGGGCCACATACATACATATAATTGATTCACAATAGTACAGGGATTTCCTGGCTGTTTAATTCCTACTAGAGAACTTTTCCTCGCCCCTTTTCTGGCTGACTGTTGAAGAAAACAAACG